TACACACCCAAGGCTCTAGCACCTGCCAGTCTCTGCCTGCCATTACAAGAACTTTTATCAGCTCCATAGTCTCAGGTACATAACAGCCACGCAAGGACCCAGCGCTTCTCCTTCAGCAGCACTTACCTTCTACCGTTTACAAATATCCGGCCACAGAACTCAACGCTAGCTACCTCCATAGCATTCTGTAGGTGCCCCATACTCTAGAACTTGACTGTTTTGTGTGCATATGCCAGTCCTGGGGCTTGAACTCAGGGTTTAGGCACTGTCTCTGGGATTTTGTGCACAAGGCCAGTACTCTACTACTTGAGCCACAGCTTTACCTCTGACTTTTTTTGGGGCAGGGAGGAGGGGGTTCACTACTGGAGATAAGCTCTTCCCTGCCAGGGCTAGCTTCCAGCCATGATACGCAGAATAGCTGGGATCGCTAGGAAACTGGGGGAGAAAGGAACAGGCCAGACTATATCAACAGGCAAGCACTGTTTATTAAAGCGCAGCAACGAGAGCCAGCAACCTTTCTGTAGGATGGAGGCTGTGCAGGGAGGTGGGGTTGGAGTCGGGCTTTTACGGGGTCTAAGCAAGGAGACAGAGGTTATGGGAAAGGCTGTTAGGGCTGGGGTGGTGGTGGGGACTTTTGTTAGGCCCATAATGGTAGGTTTATGGCCAGGCTTAGGTTGGATTGCCTGGCCTCGGCACACACCTGGGATTCTTCCTGACCTCGGTATGCACCTGGGATCATAGGGCAGGGTCAACCCTTCAGTTGTCAGGAGACAAATGGAAAAACAAACACCTAATCCTCTAAATTAGGTTGAGGCCACACATGAAGGAAACACACACTGAAAACTTCCTTTCATCCTGATGAATAAAAACAAAACCGTATCAGAGAGTAGATGAGAGAAAAACTAAAACAAAATGAGAATTACTCTTTAAAATTACAGCAACACTCGGGAGGGGAGGGGGGAATGGAGCTGGCGGTGGCTCTTTTGAGATATTGTCCTATCACAGACGAGTGCGGTGAAAGGGTCTCTCCAAGGCTTTGCACCCCATGTTTCATTCCTCTATATTTGGAGTGGGGGGCACTCCACGCAGACCACAGCGTAGGACGAAGAAGATTCCTGGGCTTTCTTTTCACTCTAGTCTCTGGAGACGAGTCCAGAGGTCTTCCTGCATTTTTTTCCCCCCAATGGCATCACCATTTACCAAGCTGATGAAATAAAAATAAATGCTCTGATTCGGTTTTTTCTTCCTTCAATAAGCCATAAAAATCTCTCTCCCTTGGTTCAGCTTTCTGGCAGGCATTATGATGTGCTTAATAGTCCACTGTCGCTGCCCAATTCAGGCCGAGGGTTCCTTGTGGAAACTTACATTGCAAAATGTTTGACTTTCTATTTTCCATTTTCTTGTTCTCTTTATAGATTCCTTTGTATTCTAAAATGCAAGTACGGTCGTGTCACATAGTCCCTCGCTATATCACTTTACTTATTGCAGCTTTACTGTGAAAGCACCCATCCTACAAAACCACATGGAGAGCGTCATGTACAGAGAAGGGGGCTTATTGTCAGCAGGGGTCTGACAGGCTAGCTCTAGCTCTCTCTTAGGACAGAGTAGCAGCAGCCTGTCCCTGGGTAAGGCAGTACTTATTGTCTAGGGGACTGGCTCGGATGAGATGTGAGAGCCTAGTATTCCATTATGGTGGGCTAAGATTTATGGCAGCTGCCCAAAGTGTAGGTGAGGCGGCCTGCTGCTACCATTGATGGCTGTAACTGACCAAATGGAGGAAGCTGGTTACCAGCTGCCTGCACCAAAAGGGCCCTTTGTCCGCCAATCTGGGGAGAAGAGCATGTCAGACTAACACCCTGTCCTGTTTTTTAAATCCAATTCTGTACTGCAGTTTTTGCTGCATCACAGGATGTTTTTTGTTGGTCATGGAGCCTGAACTCAAGGCTAGAGCGCTACCACTTGAGCCACAGCACCACTTCCGGCTTTTTCTGCTTACGTGGTGCTGAGGAATTGAACCCAGGGCTTCACTGATGCTAGGCAAGCACTCTACCCCTGAGCCACTTTCCCAGCCCCTGCATCACAGGACTTTATGGTATATATTATTTATATACTTTAATTATTTCTACCTAAAAACTTAAAATACAAAAATATAAACAATCAATAACTCAAACATATTAAAATATTAAATCAAAATAACTATACTGTACACAATTGAAATGCAGATGATGCTACTAGTGCTTGCACAAGTTTGCCAGCATGTGACTGTACATGGCACACTACTGTCTGGTGGAATGGCAGGAGACTGAGCACAGCACCGTGCTCCGAGTCCTGGGTGCTGACTGGCTCAGGGACTGCAGCCACCATGTCTGCTGTGCCACGCTGTCCACGCGCTCAGCATCTGTCTACTTCACACTGATGTCTGATTGCTGCTCTGCGGTTTTTGTTGTTTGGTTTTGGGGCTTGAACTCTGGGCCTGGACGCTGTCCCTCAGCTCTTCAGCTCAAGGCTAGCGCTCTACCACTTGAATCACAGCACTACTTCCGTTTTCTGGTCGTTTATTGGAACTAAGAGTCTCATGGGCTCTCCTGCCCAGGCTGGCTTTGAACCATAATCCTCAGATCTCAGCCTCCTGAGTAGCTTGGATTATAGGCATGAGCCACTGATGCCTGGCTTCTGAACAAGTTTGTAACATGGATGAGATGAAATCAGCAAGTGAAGAGGATGAAGAAGAACTACAGGCTGGAGAGGAGGAGGAGGTTGGCGTAACACTCGGTCGCCTTGCAGCCATGGTCAGAATGGCCAAAGGACTTGAGGAGTGGCTGAGGAATGACACCCCCAGATGCTGTGTTTGTTGCACTTTGTAAATACAATCAAGAGCCGCACGTCAGTTTATAAAAACCTCCTCACTCAGAAGAAAATCAGCGCCAGCAACTCCCCATAGCGGTGTCCAACACTTGAAGAGATCAGTTACAACTACACCTGCAGTGGAAATAGAAGTCACGGCCCAGGGTGAAGACGCCGCACCACCTGTGAAGCGCTGGTGAGCGGAGCCTTCAGAGGAGCTGCCGGGCTCCGCTTGGCTGTGCAGTGCACTCACCTCATTATCACGTTCAGCGCCATCGGCACTGCACAGCTGCTAAGTCATGATCTTCACCACTCGGGTTGTTGTACTTCACTGGCGAGTACTGATAGAATTTTATGCTACTAAATTACATAGACATGTACTTGCCTAGTATGCCCGAGGCCCTGGGTTCGATTCCGCAGTACCACATAAACGGAAAAAGCCAGGAGTGGTGCTGTGGCTCAAGTGGTAGAGTGCTAGCCTTGAGCAAAAGCAGCTCAGGGAGAGTGCCCAGGCCCTGAGTTCAGTCTATAGGACTGGCAAAAAATAAATAAAAGCATATGAAGTCTTTGTAAGAGCATGGAAAAGGTTTATAGGAGAGCAGAGTTTATAGAACCATATATATATATATATATATATATATAATGCTGCTACTTTGCGGAGGGTGAGGGCTCACTGTACTACCAAACTTGGCTCATGCTCAATACGTAGCAGCTCACAATTATTGGGACTGAGTACATGGTTTGTGGCTATTTATAGCCAAAGAACTAAATGTTTAAAACTTAAGTAGCCAGCCCTGCACTGGTTGCTCATCCTTGTAATCCCAGCTACTTATGAGGCTAAGATTTTAGGAGACTCTAAGATTTAAGGATCTAAAAAAAACCCTAAGACCATCTCGGATTAACCAGCAAAATGCTGAACCAGAGGTGTGGCTCAAGTGGGAAAGCACCAGCCATAAGTAAAAAGCCCCAGTAGCAGCAAAAACAATTTCAGGTACTGACTACCAGGCTTATGTAACTGGCATTTGCTTAGATTCAACTTATGCCTCTGCTCACCATTTCTGCTTTGTTTGTGAGCACAGGATCTCGGGTATGCAGCTCAGCTTGGCCTCAGTCTTGTGATTCTCTGCCTCTGTCTGGACCATGAGGTCCCACTTTACTATTCTGAAAACCATTGTCCTTCCTGAAAGTTGGTGTTCTAGAGCTAGGGTGGAATGAATTTTCCACCGACACTAACGTGACCTCTGAACTCCAGCTGCGTCTGCCCCTCGTGCTTCCATGGCTGCTGTGGGAAGCTCAGTGGCTGTTGCAGTAGGGTCCGTCTTTCTTCCTGGCTGCTGCTTAAGCACCCAGGGCTGTGGGATGTTTATTAAGCCTCCCTTGGGACTTGTTAGGAGCTGGATGCTGCTTCAACCCTCTCAGAGACCAAGGGAACTGGAGTCTACTGGGGTCATACCTGGGAAAAATCCAGGGTGGGGTGGACACCTGGTTATTGTACTGAGCTGCCAACGCCCAAGCAGCCAGCTGGAGCTCTGCTGAGATGGGCCCAGAAAGGAGTCTGGCTCAGACAGTGCCTCGGGCCCCAGGACACACCAAACTCTGCCAGGGGTAGCAGCCTGCCCAGAGAGCTCAAAGGTGGAGCCGGAAAGCGATGGGCAGAGGATGCCAGTGCTCTATACTTTTTTTTTCTTCTGTCGGTCGTGGGGCTTGAACTCTGTGCCTGGGTGCCGTCCCTCAGCTCTTCAGCTCAAGGCTAGTGGTCTACCACTTGAGCCAAAGCGCCAGTTTTCTGGTGGTTTATTGGAGATAGGAGTCTCAGGTTTCTTGCCCAGGTTGGCTCTGAACTGCGAACCCTCAGATCTCAGCCTCTTGAGTAGCTAGGATTACAGGCATGAGCCACTGACACCGGCTTGGTCTATACTTCTTGTTGCTGGACCCAAGTCGTTTCTCAAAGATGTGGGAAGTGCTCCTCCGCAGCTGCCGCTGCCACAGGCTTGGTTTGGCTTCCCTTCGGCCTGGCATCTCACCTGCCTTTAGCCCAGAGCTCAGTCCAGCACTATGAAGACAGGTCCCATAAAGCACCCACACCGCCACCTTGAACTTGAGCACTTTGAACCCGGTCCCGCCAGAAAGCCCCCAGTCCACACTTGCACCCCAAGGCAAAGGAAAACTCCCCCATTTATTAAGGATTTTTTTCCCTAGACAAAAGCTCATTTCATAACAGCTGCCCAGTATGATTTGTTTCCCTCCAAGACACCCGAGACACCACCAACCTGCACAGCCACTGCTTCACCGAGCTAACCCAGGAGGGTCGCCATCTCCGCCTGTCCTGCCGTAGCAGAGGCCCACCTGCACCAGCCCCTATCCTGGCCTTGATTCTAGGAGGCCAAAGGGAAGCACTTCAGTGCTCTGCCAGTGACTGGCCCACAGATGGCGCTGTGACCCCACTTCCCTTTCATTCCTTGGGTTTTGAGCAGGAATGGCTGAGGAACAGGAGAGAGAGGCAGAGCTAGGTAGCCTGGCTGGCCCTGGCTTCCTCCAAATAGTGTGAGCCCACCAGCCCCCTGCGGGTTCTGGCCCTCCCAAGGGCCATCCTCCTGTTCATGGCCATGGGAAAGAGGAGGAAGCAGAGGCCTCCCCTCCACCCCTGCTTCCCCTTCAAGAGGGCAGATGCAGAATGGGCTGGCCCCTCCCAGGTCTGGCGAAGGCACCAACCTTCTCTCTGGGGCCTCATCGGAGCCTCACTGAAGGCGAGGCCCAGGTTACCTCACCTGGGGACCCAAGCTCAGGAGAGCAGGTGGGAAAGGCACCTGGGAAGGGGCGGGCCGCTCAGGCCAGGCCAGCCCGCTCCAGGTCCTGGGGCAGCACCCGGCCCTTCTTGCGGGCCTTCTGCAGACGCCGCTCGGCGCGGGCTGCCTTTTTCTTGCGCACATTCTGCCGCCGCTTGTCCTGCCGCTGCTGCATCTTCTCCACCACCTGGGCCGAGCGCTTCTCCCACTGGCGCTGCCGCTGGGCCTTGCGCTTCTCCTTGCGCTTCAGCGCCTCCTGCAGCATCTGCTCGTTGTCCCGAATCTTCACACCCTCTGCCTTGTACAGCAGGTTGGTCCACTTCATCTTGGCCTCCAGCTCCTGGGCCTTCCCCGCATCCTGCTCCCGCAGCTCCTCCAGCTGGCCCTGCCGAGCCTGCAGGCGCTCCAGCAGCTGCCTGTAGTTCCTGCCCGTCAGCGGGGTCAGGTTCCCCTTCACCCTCTGCCGCTTCTCCCTCCTCCGCTGGGCCTTGCTGGCCGGCTCATCCTCGTTCACCTCCACCTGAGAACAGGAAATTTCCACCTAACAGGGGGCTCACAAGGGAGTGGCCCTGCCCTTCTCCCCAACCACCGTCCTGCTGCTCACCTTGTTGAAGATCAGCCCCTGCTCCTGTGGCTCCTTGCAGGCCACCTCAGGGGGCGCCTCGGAGGCTACTTCCATCTTCACAGCCTTCATCGCCTTCTCCTTGGCACGCAGCTCCTTCCGCTTCCTCTTCTTCCGCTCCCGCTCCTGCTTTCTCCGCTGCCGTTTCTCCAGAGTGGCCGCAGACAGCTCCTTGGCACTTCCCTGAGGGAAAGTGGGGGTCCACTCACTACAGCTCTTAACTTTAAGGGTCCTCACCACGTGGCATATGGCTGAGGTGGAGCGCAGGCTGGAGGCAAGTGGGGAGATCCTCTTGGAGGCCATGGGCTTCAGAAGGACGTGACCCATCACCCAAAGTGGCCCAGTGGGAAAAAGGGAACCCCAAACAAGAACGAGCCTCACTCTCAGGCCCTTCCGTGGGGCAGGGCGCTCCACGGACAGTTTCACCTTGCACCGCTACCTACCTCCTGTGTCTCAGGCACGCCTGAGTGTATCCTGCTCATGCCAGCCCCCTCCCCCGCACCCAGGCGCCAGGAAAAGGGTGCAGCTGGGTCGGGGGAGACGGCACCATGTCAGGGCTGGGCAGTTAAGCTCAAGGCACTGACCTTTAGAGGACAGACCCGGGCCCACCCAGTCCCTGTGGTGTCAGCAGATTTCCGGAGACAGCAGGCTGTGCCTCTCTGAGGGCCACAGGAGGGGCAGCCAGCAAGCCAGAAACTGTAGGAATGCCCCCCCCAGCCAGCTTCCCCCCCCCCCCCCCGCCCCAAACCAGGCCTGCACTGTGGTCCCACTGGCAGCAAGGAGGCAGAGTGGGAAGCCACTTTCCAACATGCTCTAGGGGCTCGGCAGGGCTCCCCACCTACCTGGCCCCGGGCCTCCTGCATCTTCTGGTGCAGTCGTTCCCGCAGCACCTCCAGGGCGAACACAGAGTCAGGTCCCGTGGTTTGGTCATCTGCAAAGGAGACAGTACTCAAAGGGCGCCCTCTAGCCTTTCCCTTCCCTCCACATGGCAGAGCATCTAAGCCTCAGCTGCTCTGGGTCCACTGCAGCCACTTTGCGATCTGTAGGCCAATGCAGTAGGTTCTACTCCACCTGTTCAACTTGGACTTGTGCCTTCAACTTCCTTCAAGATTGGCAACTGACTAAAATACCAGAAAATACTTCCCAGCCTGGTTCCAGTAGCTCATGCTTATAATCCTAGCTACTCAAAGTTTTAAGTTCAGAGAATTGTGGTTTGAAGCCACCCTGAACAGGAAAGTCAGTGAGACTCTTATCTTCAAGAGCAGTGGCTCAAGTGGTAGAGAACTAACCTTGAGCAAAAATGCTAAGGGAAAGTGCCTAGGTCCTGAGTTCAAGCCCAAGTACCAGCACAAAAGAAAGAAAAAGAAGAAACACCTAGAGAGAAAGGACTTCCTAGTAACTGTAACCTTCCAGATTCTCAGATACCTTGTCCCCTGCTACTCTATCATATGTAGTGGAAGCATAACACTTCCCACAGGGCCCCAGAACCCATCCAACTCCGCAGGGGCCTCACATGAACCCCGAGTGCTTCCTGATGCTTTTCCTTGTGAATGGTGGTGATCACATTTGCAACCCAGCCCCATCTTGGCCCTGGAGCCCTCACCTGCAGGAGTCCCTGGGAAGCTGGAAGCCTCCTCTTTGGGTGCTGCCTGTTTCTTGGCTGCAGAAGCAGCTGGAGACTTCTCTCTCAAGGACTTGGCCTTGTGCATGGCCTTCTGTTCCTGCTCGGGGGGTTTCTTCTGTGCTTTTTTCCTTCTCTTTTTTGGAGGCCCAGAAGCTTCTGAGCCTCGAGCCTTGCCAGCTGGAATACAAAACAACAGAGTTGCACCTCAGCTCCTGTGACATTCAGCAGGCAGGAAGATCATGCAATGGTTTTAACTCCACAAGGATGCCTCAAAACAATCAGGATGGAGAATCCACCCACCTCACCTGGAATGCAGATCATGCTTGACCTAATAATTCTGTTTGTGAGAACTGCCCTTCACAAACATGTTCATAAAGCTGAGCACTGTGGCTCACATCTGTAATCCCAGTTACTCAGAAGGCTGAGATCTTAGGAACCCAGCTTTAAGCCAGCCTAAGCAGGAAGTCCATGAAGCTCCTATCTCCAGTTAACTAGCAAAAAAACGGAACTGCGGGTGTGGCTCATAAGGTAGGGAGCCCCAGACTTGGGCAGACAAGGCTAAAGAACAGCCCCCTGGCCCTGAGTTCAAACTCCAGTACTGGCACAAAACCAAAAAACAAAAAATCCCCAAAGACGTCCGTACGGCGCTGGCGTGAAAAGCTAGGGGGTAAATGGCACTGCCACACAGGTGTTTCTGTTTGGAGGTGAAGCTGGTTACATTTTACACTGAGACCGGGGTGTGCAATGGGAATCAACGCACGGAGTCCACGCCACGGACAAGGAAGGTGGCAACGAGGTGAGAGAGGTGGCCCACCTTTTCAACCTCCCCTCCCGAGCGTGTGCCGGCCTCGTGTGCACGGCTCCCCGCCAAGGAGCCAAGCGCGCGGCCGCGCGGGCCTCGGCCGGCCCGGGCGTGAGCGAGGGCCGCGGCGGGCGCGCGCTCCCTCCCCGCCCGGGCCGCGCCGCGCCCCGGGGCCCCAGCCCGCGCGCCCCGCCTTACCCCGCTCGCGTCTCGGCCGCTCGGGGCCCGGCTGGACGCAGATCTTCCTGGCTAGGTCCTGCAGGTAGGTGTCCTTGGCGAGGAGGGAGGCCATGGCCGCGGGCGGGGCGAGGACCCCGCACCACTCACACCGCACTCTACGCGGCGCGCCGGAAGCCACGGAGTGTGCGCCGGAAGTCACTGCTGTGCAGGCGCTGCCAGCCGACCGCCGAGCGGCGCTCGATTAGTCAGGACTGGCCGCGCTGGAAAGGGCGTGCGGGGAGCACGTGGGAGACGGCGGCGACGCCCGGGGGCGCGCGGCTCCGGCCCGCGGCGGGGGGTCGGGGCGCCACGGCCCGCGGCGGCGCGGGTCTCGTGAGAAGACGCGGGGACGGAGGCCAGACCGCGTGCGGTCGCGCCGTCCGGGGAGCGGGGCCTCGGCGAAGCGGGGCTCCGGCCGTGAGGGCGGCCCCGAGCGCGCCCCGCGCCTGCCGCCCGCCCCGCGCCGCCCGCCCCGCCCCGGCCGGCCGCCCCGCCCCAGCCGGCCGCCCCGCCCCGCCCCGGCCGGCCGCCCCGCCCCGCCCCGGCCGGCCGCCCCGCCCCAGCCGGCCGCCCCGCCCCAGCCGGCCGGCCGCCCCGCCCCGCCCCGGCCGGCCGCCCCGCCCCGCCCCGGCCGGCCGCCCCGCCCCGCCCCGGCCGCCCGCCCCGCCCCGCCCCGGCCGCCCGCCCCGCCCCGCCCCGCCCCGGCCGCCCGCCCCGCCCCGCCCCGCCCGCCCCGCCCGCCCGCCCCGCCCCGCCCCGGCCGCCCGCCCCGCCCCGCCCCGGCCGCCCGCCCCGCCCCGGCCGCCCGCCCCGCCCCGCCCCGCCCCGCCCGCCCGCCCCGCCCTGGCCGGCCGCCCCGCGACGCCCGCCCCGCCCCGCCCCAGCCGGCCGCCCCTCCCCGCCACTGCCGGCCGCCCCGCGACGCCCGCCCCGCCCCTGCCGGCCGCCCCGCCCCGCCCCGCCCCGCGCCTGCCGACCCGCCCCACCCGCCCCTGCCGCCCGCCCCGCCCCGGCCCTGCCGGCCGCCCCGCCCCGCGCCTGCCGACCCGCCCCACCCGCCCGCCCCGCCCCGGCCCTGCCGGCCGCCCCGCCCCGCCCCGCCCCGCGCCTGCCGCCCCGCCCTGCCCCGGCCGGCCGGCCGCCCCGCCCCGCGCCTGCCGCCCCGCCCTGCCCCGGCCGGCCGGCCGCCCCTGCCGCCCGCCCCGCCCCGCCCGCCCCTGCCGCCCCGCGCCGCCTCCCACCGCAGGCCTCGAGAGCCTGCCCATCCTGACCGTGAGCTTCCGGGGCTGCGGCGGCTCACGCGGCCCGCGCCGGGCTAGGCAAGCCACGGGGCTCAGACAGATGGGACGGCCCTCATCTGAGGGAGGGTGCGGGCGTCTCCAGCAGGGCGCGTCCGGGCCGGTGTTCTCGGCGCACACCGCCAGCCACCGGTCCCTTCAGTACCGTGGCGTCAGCGGTGCGGGAGACCGCGCTCCCCGAGGAGGGAGGAGGAGGAAGGGGGGCCGCGCTGGGTTCAGGGAGAAACCGCTCACTTTGGAGTGCGAAGGATGGCACTGGCCAAGCAGATAATAATACACGGTGAGACACGCTTTTATTGTTCAGATGCTTTTTAAAGCTTCATGGCACATTCCTTCTGGTCTTGTACTGTCGGCATCTTATCAGTGGGAACTCGTGAAAAGTGACCGTCCTTTGGCCCCCAAGAAACCAGATCAGAGCCATGCCCCTGGCTCCCAGATGTCCCTTCCCTTCTGCTTGGCTTTGAAGGTCTAGAGCCCCTTAGTGGTGGTGTGTGGATCTCCTCGAGGAATGAGGATAGAGCCTGTGGAGGGATGGCACCGGGGTGGGGGGTACAGACTCCAGTGGCAGCAGTTGTGGAGAACCTCACTCTATCCCCAGAGCACTGGGGTTTCGGTGAGTCTGAGCCTACCCCCAAGAAGCAGTAGTTCTGACTTCCTGAGGTTCGAACCCTGGTTCTGCCACTTCGGGCCCAGCTTTGGGCCTGAGCATGACTCCTCCCCAAGTGCACACCTAACACTGACTCAGGGTGGCAGTGAGAACATACAGGTGCCCAGGCACGGGATGTTCAATCGTGGCAGGTAGTTCACTCACCAAATGCTAAGGACTTACTAGGCACTGGCCTGAACCCCAGGTTGTGCCAGCAGAGCCAGTCTTCACTTAGGAGCCACTGGCACTGAGGGTGGTTCTAGACTGACTAGGAATGAAGAAGAAAGAGGAGCGATGGGAAAGGGTAGTTGTTTTTTTGTTTGTTTTTTTGTCAGTTATAGGTCTTGAACTCAGGGCCTGGGCCTGTCTGAGCTTTTTGCTCAAGGCTAACATTCTACTACTTTAAACCACAGCACCACTTCCAATTTTCTAGTGGTTCACTGGAGATAAGAGTCTCACAGGCTTTCCTGCCCAGACCAGCTTTGAACCACAATCCTCAGATCTCAGCCTCCTGAGTAGCTAGGATTACAAGTCTGAGCCACAGGTGCCTGGCAAGGGTAGTATTTTTTTTTTTTAATCAAAGTCTCATCACAAAAGTAGAACAAGCATGGTGGCATTGGTCAGGAGGCCCCAGCCGCTGCCATGGGAGCCACCCACTTTCCACATGCCTGCCAGGGTGGTCATTTGTGCCTTCAGCAAGAGGCAGTAGCCCTGGCCATCATGAGAATGGACTTAGCCAACTGTTGACTGTGCCCACTGTAAACAGTCTTCTTCAAATAGCATGAAGCTCAACAGGACATACTTCCTTCCACCCAGTAACCTGAGAGATAGAGGCTAGAGATAACGGGCCGTCTTGAAATGGGTCTAACAACTGTCCTTAACTGTGCTAGGGACGAAGCCTGGTCAACTTCCTAAGGCCACAGCAGCTCCTGGGCTCTGGGGAGTCCAGCGGGTCCAAGGCTGGCACAAGCTAGCTTGTGGTGGGCAGGCTCAAGAAGGAGCCCAGGATTTCGCTCCTGCTCCTGGGGGAGGGCAGCCTTGGAGGCTCAGGTGTGCTCTGTGGGGCCAGGGCCACCGGCATGGGAGTGGGAGGGGGCTGCAGCCGGCAGCGAGCCAGGGCCGGGCTCCGGGGACGCCAGAAGAGGGGCTGGGAGGCCATCAGCAGAGTCGGTGTCGAGGTCCAGCCTCCAGTAAGCTTCACATAGAGGCAGGTCATTAGCTTCGCAAAGACTGGAGCTTTTCCACCACCAGAAACCCCGGGAGGGACAGGAGCAGACAGAGGGAAGCAGGGAGGGGAAAGCAAGACGGAAGCAGAGTTAAGAAACCACAACCACCACCCTGGCCTGCCGCCCCTTCCTCTCCTCCGCGCCAGGCCTCTCAGGCACTCCTGGCTATGGGAGGGGCCGTAGGGGCCGCCCTGTCACAGGCTAGGTGACCCTGGCAAGTCCTCCCCAAGGACCAAGCTGGTGTTCTTGCTGGATTGCCACTCGGGCCTCTCCAAGTCCCTGAGGGCCCTGCTTGCCCTGCCCCAGCCCAGGGACTCTCCCCTCACCAGCTGAGGTGCCCATGAACCTTTGCAAAGCTCACCCCCACACCCATGGCAGAAACCCTGCCCTACTGCTGGGTCTGTCCCTGTGTGGGGACCCAGGCCCTGGCACCTCCCAGCACCGCTGCTCAGGTTCTGTGACACCCCCACACTCCCCTGGGGCTTCCTATGGAGGGCCTGAGAGGCAGGATGCAGGAGCGCAGATCATCCTGGCAGGCAGAGCCGGGTCATTCCCCGGGTCTAATCACCTCCCCCTCGCCTGCTCCGTGTGTTCATTCTCAGCATCACCCGAACACAGGAGAATGGAAAGAAGAGGCAGAGGCAGAAAGAGAAGCAGTGAGTGGACAGTGCAGGCAGGGAGGCGTGGACCAAACCAGCCAGCTCTGGTGGGAAGAGCCCTGAAGGCTTAAGGGCGTCCACAGGCAAAAGGGGCAGCTGCTTCCCCACAGGAGCTGTGGGGGAGGAGGCTGGGGTAGATGGAACACAGACTGGTCCCCCTCTAGAGGAAGAGAGAGACCAAATGGGGGGAGACTGCTGCTGGGGCCTATGGGTTCCCATCCCAGCTCTGCTGCATGACCTCAGGACTGTCCTCAACTCCCTGTGGCCTTCAGCCCCATAAGGCAAGGGTCCCCTGGCGTGCAGGAGATGCTGCACTCAACTGATGCATTTCCAGGTACCAATGACAGCCCCAGAATCCCAAGAAACATCTAGAACTGCTCTCTCTAGCTGGGCAACGATTCTAAATCCAGGGCAAGAAAGCAAAGCCCCAGACCACAGACCATGCTGAATGTCTGTGGCCTCCTGGTGTGGCCTAGGTCTAACAGAAAGGAAAACTTTCCATCTACCATGAGAAGGGAAGGGTCTGTCCAGCAGGGGGCACAAAAGGGACAAATTGGCAACTGACACACTGAATGTGTATGTTAGAAGCTAGTGGGGTAGGGTGGAAGGCCTCAGGTCTCCAGCCTCTGTTTCCCAGGTAAATTATGTGGGAGGGATTTCCAGGCCCCTCTGGCTCAGTCTCAGGATTCTAAGTGGCCCTGTGAGAGCTGCAATGACAGGTCCTGCTCTGTGGCACCCAGTGCCAGCACAGAGCTGACCTGACAGCAACATCCAGACACCCTATTTCCTCCCTCCAGGGCCGCCCCCATCCACAGCGTGGGGTTCAGCCTCATGTACACGGCATTGCCTCCCTGGGCAAGCAGTGGTATCCTAGAAAGGGGCATGGCTTGGGCTGGACCGCCTGGGTATGGATTCAAGATCCAGAATCAAGGCCCAGAAAGTTCTGCCCAGAGGAGGGCTCCCCTGTCTTGGAGGACACCGTTCTCCAGACACCGCCTCCTCCATACCAGACGTCCTATGATTTCCATCCCTCTGCATGGAGGGAAAGGCTCAGGCCTGATGGTGGCTGTGAACTGTCTGTCCATCAAATGCTCTGGCCAGGGGCTCTGCTCTGGAGCCCAGGAATCGGCATCAGCTTTGCTGCCAAGACCAGGAAGGGTGTGAGGAACGGAAGCCCCTTCCAGGCCTGGACAGCCCAACCTGCTGGCCAGGCGCAGGCAGGCAGGGGGGCCAGCCTATTTGTACCTGGACGAGTAGTACTCCTCCTCTAGCTCATACAGGTCGATGGAGACCTCATCGCGCAGGGCGACAAGCTTGCGGTCGCACTCCTCCTGCAGGGCACGCAGCTGCTGGCTGCGCTGGTCGATGGCCTCGTTCACTGATGGGAAGTCATTGAGGATCAGGAACTGCTTGAGATCAGACACCAGCTTCATCAGGGACTCGCCAGCTCGGACCTGCAGCCATCAAAGCCAGGGCAGGCCGAAGATGAGTGGGGAGGGAGGAGACAGTGGCCTTCTCCACGCTGCTGGAGATAGGCTGGCAGCAACGCTCTGGGAGCCTCAGTTTCCTGGTCTACAAAATGGGAACACAAACCTGCATGGGGCCATTTGCAAGGATGAGGGGAGGGCACTAGCCAGAAGCTGAGAAGGCAGCTCCCACCCTGCCTCACCATGCAGGTGCAGCTCCCGCCCTGCCTCACCATGCAGGTGCAGATCCAGTGCAGCTCCCGCCCTGCCTCACCATGCAGGTGCAGCTCCCGCCCTGCCTCACCATGCAGGTGCAGCTCCCGCCCTGCCTCACCATGCAGGTGGAACCAACTTTTTTTTTTTTTTTTTTTGCCAGTACTGGGGCTTGAACCCAGGGCCTGGGCTCTGTCCCTGAGCTTCTTTTTTTGCTTAAGGCTAGTATTCTATCACTTGAGCCACAGCATCACTTCTGGCCTTTTCTGTTTAAATGGTACTGAGGAATTGAACCCAGGGCTTCATGCATACTAGGCAAGCATTCTACCACTAAGCCACATTCCCAGTCCCTAAACTTGTTTATTAATAAGCTTGCTCCAGAGCTCTCCAGCCTCTGGTTTTCACACTGGCGGGCCTGGAGCGCCAATCACAGGGGTCAGTGGGCACACATCTGTACATTCAGCACAACCTCCATAGAAAATACGGTGCTCACTCGTCTCCATGGCTGTGGCTTGGGGCCTTTTCCCTTACATCTGTGAGTACACATCTGGCTGCCTGGGGTTCTCTTGTGACAGTAGCAGGGTTCACACCACACATACAGTTCATTCAGCAATTCCCCTTTTCATGCATGACTCTTAGGGGACCTGGGAATCAGCAGGTAGGCTGCCTTCTTCTGACCACTGCACAGCTTCAGACTGTCCTGGGCCAGCTCTCGGCCTGGCCGCCTTGGGGATGTTATCCTGAGAAGTGGTCTCCCCTCACCTCTCTTCCTTTACTGCTCACAGGAGGGTGAGGCAGGCAGAGGACCTGTGTGCCAACCACAAAACCCCAGTGGGGAGCCTCCCCCCTCCCCCCCAACCCCAGTAACTTACGATGTTGGCTGCTCGCACATGCATCTCGTAATTATCCTGTTCACCCTGAGTGGCTCTTGACACCTGTGTCTCATCCTCAATCTGGGAGCAAACAAGAAGCCTACAGTCAGCCCAGCGCCCCACCCCTCCCAGTCAAGAGTTCCCACCCCTGCTCCGGCCTGGCTCACAGGAACAACCAGCTGCCCAGCACACTTGTACCTCCACAACCAATCTTGCCTTCTGTGGACCCAGTGCCTGCACACCCAACTGCAAGGTCCAGTCCCACGCTCTCTTGCTCTGTTCAAGGGGCTCCTTCTCCAGGACGAGGGAGAAGCTGCCCTGCGGACTGCTGTCTGATTGTGCTAGGTGGAGGGACAGGGCCTCGGCTTGGCCAACTTTTTTTTTTCTTTTCTTTTTTTGGTTGGTCGTGGGGCTTGAACTCTGGGCTTGGGCACTGTCCCTGTGCTCTTCAGCTCAAGGCTAGCGCTCTACTGCTTCAGCCACAGCACCACTTCCAGTTTTCTAGTGGTTTGTCTTGGAGATAAGAGTCTCATGGACTTTCCTGCTTGGGCTGGCTTTGAACCGAGATCCTCAGATGTCAGCCTCCTGAGTAGCTAGGATTAACAGGCGTGAGCCACCAGCGCCCGGCTTGGCCAATTTTTAGAGTGTGGCACCATCTGGCAGGGACTAAGACACTAAGTTTAGCTGAATGAACAAGATAATGTGCTTTTTTGGAGGTCCTGGGATTTGAACTCAGGGCTTATACTTGCTAGGCAAGTGTTCTTCCATGTGAACTACCCCCCCCCAGCTCTTGTTTGCTTTTGTTACTTTTTAATAGGGTCTCACTTATTATTACTTTCTTGTTGGTGGTGGTGGTGGTGGGGCCTGAACTCTGGGCCTGGGCACTGTCCCTCAGCTCTTCAGCTTAAGGCTAGCGCTCTACCACTTGAGCCACAGCGCCACTTCTGGCTTTTTCTGCTTATGTGGTGCTAAGGAATCGAACCCAGGGCCTCATGCATGCAAGGCAAGCACTCTACCACTGAGCCACCTTCCCAGCCCAGGGTCTCACTTCTTACCAAGGCTAGTCCCGATCAAGATTCTCCTACCTGTACCTCCTGAATAGCTGGGAAACAGTGTGTGTGTGTGTGTGTGTGTGTGTGTGTGTGTGTGTGTGTGTGTGTGTGTGTGTGTGTGTGTGTGTGTGTGTGTGTGTGTGTGTGTGTACACTCCTCCTGAATAGCTGGGAAACAGGGTGTGTGTGTGTATACATATATATATATGTATGTGTGTATACATATATATGTATGTATATATATATGTACATATATATATGTATACACACACACATGCCAATGCACCCAGTGTTGTTTTGTTTTTAATTAGATGACATGAGGTCTCATGAACTTTTTGCCTTGGCTGGCCTAGAAACACAATCCTCCCATTCTTGGTCTTCTGAGTGTGAGACCTTTCCCCCACCCCCTGATTCTACCACTGGAGCCACAGCTCCACTTCCAGCTTTTTAGTGGCTAATTGGAGATAAGAGTCTTATGGACTCTCCTGCCTAAGCTGGCTTTGAACTGCAACCCTCAGATCTAGCCTCCTGAATAGCTGGGATTACAGGTGTGAGCCACCAGCACCAGGCAATAAGATCACTTAAGTCTTTTTGAACAGTCCTTTCCTAATCCCTCCTGGGCGCTAGGCACTCACTATTGGCTAGTCATCATCCTCTCAAGAATGATGGGATCGCTGGGCGCTCATGACTGTCAGCTACTCAGGAGGCTGAGATCTGAGGATCACCGTTCAAAGCCAGCTCGGGCAGAGCAGGAAAGTCCCGTGAGACTCTTATCTCCAATAAACCACCTAGAAAACCAGAATTGGTGCAGTAGCTCAAGCGGTGGAGCGCTAACCTCTAACCTTGAACTGAAGAACTGAGGGACAGCGCCCAGGCCCAGAATTCAAGCCCCAAAACAAAAACAAACAAACAAAAGATGGGCTTCTTCTCAGAGAAGCCTGAATTGCTGCCCCTAGATTACAGATGGGCCACTAAAGGGTGAGATAGACCTCAGAGGACTGGAGATGTCTTACGCTCCTTCAGTGGGTAATAGGCAGACCTCCTGGATTTAAATCTTGACTCTGCCCGTTATTAGCAGAGTGATTGTGGGCAAGTTTCCGCTGAATGTGGAGTGGCGATGGTACAAGGTTCTTGGGAAGATTAAACAGCACAAACAGCTCTTACAATGTGGTCTGACTGGCAGCAAACGCTAGATTTAGGCTAGCTCTTATCATTACTATTACTGGCCAGCCAGGCTTGACAAGTCTGAGGTGGTCAAGCTGCAGGAGGCTCCTATTTGGGCTGCAGCAGTCAGAGAGAGGGCTTGCCCAGATGCGACTAAGTCTTGACCACTGCCTGCCTACAGGGCTCTCCCCAACCTGCTCCTTAGCCCATTTCTCCCTTGTTTCTCTCCCGTTCACACTTGGAATATCTACAAGGAATGGGCCACTTCCTCAGTGCCAGGCCCTAGGATACCTGCTATGTATGGGCAAACTCACGTCATCACAAGGGCCTATGACACAGAGAAACTGAGACACTGAGGCGCGAAGTCTCCACAACCCCGGGCCAATAGTAAGTGCTGGACTTGGAGCTGTGGCAATCGGGCCCGAGTCTCGAGTTTGTCACTTTGGGCTCACGTCTTGATCTGCTGACCTGTCTGTTCCTGTTGACACTCTGCCACCCTCTCTGCCAAGCGTCTCCAACCGAGACGAGGCCCGCCGCCGCTACCAGAGGGGTGGGCGTCAGCACCCGCCCTCGCGGCGGTCTTTGGGGCCCACCCACCTTGGCGGTCTTGATGATCTCGGTGAAGTTGTCCATGATGGACTTGATGTCATCCTTGAGCCGCTTGTTGTAGGACTGCAGCAGCGTCTCCTTGCTCTGGGGCAGGGCTCTCTGCTGGGCCATGGCGGGCCCGGGGCCGCGGGCAGGCGGGGGCGCCGGGCGCAGGGCGGGGCTGGGTGTGAGCGGACGGCGTCAGCCGCCGGCCGGCCCGCCACCCCCGGATCGCGGCGCGGCCGCCTCCGCCTGCCTGGGGCTCCCCGACCAGGCCCGGGCCGCGCCGCACCCCGGGTGTCCGCAGGCGGTGCCTTGGCCGCGGGTCCGACCGCGCGTCCCCAAGGCCCCGAGCTCGACGCGGCCCGGCTAGCCCCAGTCTCAGCCCCGCGCTCCCGGGCGGCCGGGCTCGGACCAGACGCAGGGGCTAGCGAAAGAGCGTATCCCCCCGCTACCGGGAGCCGGGACGCCCCGGGCCCGCGCTTACCCGCACGGCTCCGCGGATCCTCCGGGAGGCCCGCGTCCTGGAGGCGGCTCCCCGCCGCGAGGCGCCGCCCCAAGCCCGGCACGCAATCGTCCTGTCGCTTTAAATCCGAAATCCCGCGCCGGCGCCAGCTCTCGCGATCGCCGAGGGGGTTACAAATTACCCACAATTCCCTTCCCTTTCTCTCTCCAGCCACCCAAGATGGTGAGTGGCGTCCGACGGTGCCGGGGCCGCGTTGGGGCCGCATCCGCTGACATCCTCCTTCGGGGGAGCTCTTGCGGGGTCCTCGGCGACACCCCGCGCCGGGAGCGCCCCGCGGGGCCTGGCCCTGGAGGCGGCGGGCCGGAGGCGGCGGCGCCTCGGTGCGGGAGGGGTCGGCGCGCGGTGCCGCCGTGCGGGACTCGGGTGGCCGGCGAGGCCGGAGGCGGCGGCGCCTCGGTGCGGGAGGGATCGGAGCGCGGTGCCGCCGTGCGGGACTCGGGCGGCCGGCGAGGCCGGAGGCGGCGGCCCCGCGCCCGGAGGGCGGGCAGCGCGCCCGGGACTGGAGCCGGCCCCGGCCCGCGAGCCGCGCCGGCCGAACTCCTCTTCGCGCTGCCCTTGGAGGGGAACGCGCGGGAAGGGCGAGGTGTAACTGGTTTTCTTTTCTGCCCAGCCGAAAGGAAAGAAGGCCAAGGGGAAGAAGGTGGCCCCGGCCCCTGCTGTCGTGAAGAAGCAGGAGGCCAAGAAGGTGGTAAATCCGCTGTTTGAAAAAAGGCCCAAGAACTTTGGCATTGGTGAGTGGCAAGGGGAGGGGTGAAGATGGGTTTTAGGGAGCTTGTGTCCTGACGTGCTGGGATTCCTGGAGAGCGGACTCGGTTCTGGCGGCACGGTACTCTGCCAGGTGTCGTGTTGGGGCTCGTGGGGGGGGGGGGCGCGGCCTGTGGGAGCCAGCATGACCTCCTGCTGAAGAGGGAAGGAACTGCTGTCGCCCTTGCTCGCTGGCATTGTTGTGTGCAGATGATGTAAAAGGATATTTGCTATCGGAAAGATAGTGATGACACTTGAAACCACCAAGATCGCTGATGCACCAACACCCTCTGAGTGCCTTTAAAAAACGTGACTTGACATTGAGCCCCACTCACAGAGTTCTCATCTCAGGACAGGACATCCAGCCCAAAAGGGACCTCACCCGTTTTGTCAAATGGCCCCGCTACATCCGGCTGCAGCGGCAAAGGGCGATCCTCTACAAGCGGCTGAAAGTGCCTCCTGCAATTAACCAGTTTACCCAAGCCTTGGATCGCCAGACAGGTGAGGTTCTTGGTGGGTACCAAGCCTAGTCTTCAGTGAATGAGGCTGGAAAAGGTGATGTAACTGGGCACTGATGGCTCACGCCTGTCATCCTAGCTGCTCAGGAGGCTGAGATCTGAGGATCACGGTTCAAAGCCAGCCCGGGCAGGAAAAGCTGTGAGACTTTTATCTCCAGTAAACTCAGAAAACTGGCAGTGATGCTGTGGCTCAAGTGGTAGACTGCTAGCCTTGAGCTGAAGAGCTGAGGGACAGGGCCCAGGCCCAGGGTTCAAGCCACATAATGGACCAAAAAAAAGTGGTATGCATTTCTACCATTTGAGCCACAGTCCTCAGTTTCTTCATGAGTAGGTAGGATTACATGTGAGTCACTAGTACCCAGCAGCCTTGGTTTGATTGATAGCTGCCATTCTTGTAATAGAGCAGGATGGATGTAGTGTTTATTTTTTATTTTTGCCAGTCCTGAGGCTTGAACTTGGCCTGGACACTCCCTGAACTTTTGCTCAAGGCTAGCACACTATCACTTGAACTACAGTGCTCTATTTGGCTTTTCTGTTCATGTGGTACTGAGGATTGAACCCAAGGCTTCATGCATGCTAGGCAAGCAGTCTACCACTTTCCTGGCCCTTAGTGTTTAATTATCATAGAGTAGCCATTTAAACCACAGGTGGGCTTGACATGAATATACCTGAGTCCAGGTGTGACCATGTCTCAAGCCCAAGCCCTCCCAAGAAGCCTAACTGTAGAATGTTTACACAGCTACACAGCTACTTAAGCTCGCCCACAAGTACAGGCCAGAGACAAAACAGGAGAAGAAGCAGAGACTGTTGGCCCGAGCTGAGAAGAAAGCTGCTGGCAAAGGAGATGTCCCCACTAAGAGACCTCCAGTCCTTCGAGCAGGTCGGTGGTGCCCTCCCTGTGGGGTGAGTGGTCGAGGCTGTGCGATGATGTATGAATTTCTTCACCTGAGGTCCTCATGGAGAGTGAAATTCGAGCTTTTTAACACTGAGTCACAGCTGTGCATGGCGGCTTGCTGTTTCCAAGCTGCCTGAGCACTGAGTGTGGTTGTGTTCCAGGGGTTAACACTGTTACTACCTTGGTGGAGAACAAGAAGGCCCAGCTCGTGGTGATTGCGCATGATGTGGACCCCATCGAGGTGGGTCTGCATGTTCTTCAACTCTGATGGCAGGGCTCTCTGGGACTGAAAGGGGTTTGAGATCAGCATTAACTAGGGATCCAATTTGTGTGGCTCTTGCTATGATGTGAACCTCTGACTGAACTAAATTTTGATGTGCCAAAATCCATGAGCTTTTTAACCCTGAGCAATTGCCAGCAAGCTGGCCCATGAGATGCTGTTGTGGGTGAGGACAGACACTTCAACAGCTGATGCTTTCTTCCAGCTGGTGGTATTCCTGCCTGCCCTGTGCCGCAAGATGGGTGTTCCTTACTGCATCATTAAGGGGAAGGCCAGGCTGGGGCGCCTCGTCCACAGGAAAACATGCACCACCGTTGCCTTCACTCAGGTTAACTCGTAAGTAGTGTGTGGACTGGCCCCAGATTCCCTCAGTCCATTCAATTCATGCCTTGGACCTTCACACCCACTGGAGGAACCTTTGCCAATGATGGTTAAGAATTTCTTCACCTGAATAAATCATGTGGCCATACTGTATCTGAGGCAAATAAAAAGCCTGGTAGCTACAAAGTGAAGTTGTTTCTGCTTTCTCAAACAACATACTATACTGAACCTCTATCCCGCCCCCTCTTTTTTTTAAGGGAAGACAAGGGATCTCTGGCGAAGCTGGTGGAGGCTATCAGGACCAATTACAATGACAGATATGATGAGGTAAGGAACTTTGCAGATCAAGCTTGTTTCTTTTTTCTTTTTTTTTTTTTTTTTTTTTGTTCGGTCGGGGGGCCTGAACTCGGCCTGGGCGCTGTCCCTCAGCTCTTTTGCTCAAGGCTAGCGCTCTACCACTTGAGCCACAGCACCACTTCCGGCTTTTTTCATTTTGGTTATGTGGTACTGAGGAATCGAACCCAGAGCTTCATGCATGCAAGGCAAGCGCTCTACCACTGAGCCACCTTCCCAGTCCCGATCAACCTTGTTTCTAAGGGGCTCTGAAGAGTTCTATTTGGCGTATCAGGAGGCAGGCCAGGCTGACTGTCTCTTCTCATTTCAGATCCGCCGTCACTGGGGAGGCAATGTCCTGGGTCCAAAATCTGTGGCTAGAATTGCCAAGCTGGAAAAGGCAAAGGCTAAGGAGCTGGCCACGAAGCTGGGCTAAGTGTGCAATGTTGATTTCTCTGTACATGAAAATAATAAAACTGTCCTTCCTCCAGTGTGTGGGCATTCTGAGTTAAAGTCATGGGGGTGACAAGCACTACGACTACACCCCGTAAATGTAGCACTCTAAGAGCTCCCGTACCTCTCCATTAAGGGCATTTGTCATTTTGTCTGCAGGGGTCCACTCAGTTTACACACCCAGGTCTTCCTGGGCTATGACCCCTTCCTCTTCAAACCCCTATCTCCTTACTGGTCAGGAATATGTTTGAGTCACCAAGCCAGTGCATGGGAAGTTTTATTTATACCAATGGTGAGTGGAATAAAAAGGCTTTTAAGACATTTGATCACAGTTAAAATTACTTGGGATAGGCTTGTATCCACCTCATCTGCCAGGAGTCCGACGTAGGAACTTCTTGGCCCACAGGTATGATGTAGCTGCACATAGTCCGTACCTTTGGTTGAAAGAAGTCAGGCTGTAAGCATGGAGCTAGGTGGTGTTGAGAAGGGGAGGTGGCTGAGGCTTACCAGGTAAGGATGTACTGCAGGTGCTCATTTCGCAGAGTCACTCTGGTCTGTCCTCCAACAGGGCCTCCAGGGACTGTGCTCTCTGTAGAAACAGTGGGCTGTGTCCATCTCCATCCCAGTAGGACCTTTGCTTCTTGTAACCCACCACCCATTGTCCCTTTTTTACTCAGAACTTGCCAGTGTCTCCCAGCACTACATGCTAGGGTGGAATCAAGAACCGCTTGGCCAGGGAGGTAGAGCAGGGTATCTACAATAGCAGCTTTCTCTTCTGGGGTGGGCTGATCACAACGTACGGAAGTTGGCATCAATGAACACTGGTTCTGCGCCTGTTGTCTTGGCCATAGCTTCCAGGTCCCGATAATGCCAGTGGTTCCTTTCTGGGTTGTTCTCAGGAACGAAGGGCTTCCTGGTTTCTGTTAGCCTTACTATGCCAACTAGGTCTACTTCTCCTGCAATCTACAAAGAAAGGCATGACTGTTTTTTACAGGAGCCCCATTCTCAAGCAGGAAAGACCCATGTCCCCACTGTCCTTTACCTGGCCTTTCTGGCGGGTCTCTGGATTTACTTTCTTCATGGGGACAAACCCTCTGTTTACCAGGATGGTGACTCTAGAGTGACCAGAATGGCAGGTCAGGTGGGGAGTGGTTTAATTAATGCTAACGGCCTTACGTCCCTAATGGCCTTACGTCCCTACAGAGAATCAAGCAAAGGCTTGGTCCGTTTAATTTTGTAGTGTTAAGTAGTCCAGGGTTTTGGGCTGGGAATGTGGCTCAAATGGTAGAGCACTAACATTGAACAAAATAGCTCAGGAATAGTGCCCATGCCCTGAGTTCAAGCCCCAGGACTAGCCAGAAAACCCCAATCCAGAGCTGAGTATTTGTATTTCACTACTAGGCTGTATCTCCCCAGGCCCTGGGAGTGTGATGCTGGCAAAGCCCCCTGCCAACTACTACCCTTCACCAACTAGGCTTCCAAAGTTGCTGGTACACACAGTACACTGCCACTTCTCTGCTGCTTTCCTTCATGTGCTTGGCCTACAGCAGTGTGCTATACCCCCCTTTTCTGGGCTCTACAGTCTTTTCAACTGTGGCAGCTGAAGTATACAAGAACCAGCAGCATCTGGGTCCCACCTGAGATCCAGAGACTAGCAGCCCCCAGGTGCTCCTTTTCCATGCTCTTCCTATCTGTTTTTTGTGCCAATACTGGCATTTGAACTCTGGGCCTCAACTCTTAGTAGCCTTTTTTGCTTGAAGCTGGGCACTTTACCACACCTCCATTTCCTATACACTTTTTTTTTGGGGGGGGGGGTATTGGTCATAGGTTGCTTGGGAGCTGTCCCTCAGTTCTTCAGCTCAAGGCTAGCGCTCTACCACTTGAGCCACAGCACGATTTCTGATTTTCTGGTGGTTTATTGGAGACAAGAGTCTCATGGACTTTCCTGCCCAGGCTGGCTTTGAACCACAATGCTCAGCTCTCGGCTTCCTAAGTAACTAGGATTATAGGCATGAGCCACTGGCACCCAGCTTGTTCAACTTTTTTTTTTTTCCCATGGTCGTGGGGCTTCAAGTCTGAGCCTGGGCACTGTCCCTCAGCTCTTAAGCTTAAGGCTAGTGCTCTACCATTTGAGCCACTGGGGCATTTCTGGCTTTTTCTGCTTACATGGTTGGTGCTGAGGAATTGAACCCAGGGCCCCATGCATGCTAGCAAGCACTCTACCGCTAAGCCACCTTCCCACTCAATTTCTTAGTTCAAGATTCCCTCTAGGCAGCTGGGGGGTTTCTGCTGAGATACTCCTGCTGGCCTCATGCTGCATCACAGTGGTCTAAGTGGCTATCAGAAGATTCCCCAAAAGAGGGCCTAAGTAAACCCTCTTTCCATCTGGAGATTAACATACAGAAGAACCTATTAAGTGGTAAAAGAATCGTTAAGAAGGTTGCCTAATGTCAGAAGAGGTTGCCTAATGCCCTTTGGATATCTTAGATTCCTCAGGATTTTAGCAAGGCTAAGCATTGGGAAGGACATAAAAATCAGTATGCCCTAAGTACCCCTGCCAGGCCAGCCAGGCCCTGCACAGTTCACTCACCCCAGATCTGTACAGTGGAAGGGAGTAACAACATAGGCCCCACTTTCTGTTGAGGAGGAGAGTCGGCCAGCCTCTTGAGCCTCACGAGCAGGGTCCACCATGGTTCGTGGCATCATGTACAACTCCCTGGAGTGGTCAAAGTGTCCCCTGACTCTCACTGGCCTATACTCCAGGCTTTTCAGTTCCAGCGGGCTACAAGGAAAGGGTAGATGAGCTGTAGCCAAAAAAGGCCCAGAAAAATAATGTAGAAAAGTGAAGGCTGTGCAGAGTGTGACAGCAGTCTGTATCCTCAGCTGCAGGACTTAGATGTCATGGGGAAACAGTGCCCTGTCCAGCTTTTTGAGAGAAGCTAAGTGTGGATTCTTACATGAATATCTCATGTAAGACACATAAAAGCACACTGTTATTTGCCCAGAATTCATCTTTGTGAATTGTCTTTCCAGAACACAGCCTTTTGCATTCCAGGCACTTTTTCAAAATACAGAATCTCGTGAAGACCCACGTTATCTGTCTTCACCTAAGGACTAAGAGTTATCCCTACAGTGCTATAGAGTGGTGTCAGCACTGTGGAAGATCCCTCTAGACCTGAAAAGCAGTGAAAACCAGCATCAAAAATAAGACATTTCTGCATCCATCTGGTGGCCTGAGGCAACAAGTAAGCTGTCAACAGCAAAGAACAACTGGTAAGGATGACTGAGACACATCAGAGCAGGCAGAAGCAAAGGTGCAAATACTAACCACAAGTGAGACCAGCCCTGTGTGTACCCATACTCACTCTGCTGGGAGAGGGATGGGCTCTGCCATGACTCTAGCCTCTAATTCTTCAATCAGTTTCAGCTTCCACTTCAGACGCTGGACCTACAGAAACAAGAGAATGAGCCGAGCAGATGGTAGCAGGGAGAACAACTCAGAGAAGCCCAAGCTGAATGCCAGACTTTACCTGCCAAGTTCCCAGGCCAAAGGCAGTGGCGGGAATGAGGAGCAGAAACCACTGGAGAAAGGAGTCATCTTCCACTTTCTCAGCAGGCACTTCTGTGGCTGAACTGCCATACCTGCTGGACCTCTGAGCCACTCCTGGAGGAAGTTTTACAACATTGGCATAGGACCAGAAGCCCTCAAACAGCACTGGGTAGTCAATTCCTCAAGAAGATTCCACCAGGCCAAGTGATGGTGACTCACACCTGTAATCCTAGCTACTCAGGAGGCTGATTACCTGAGTATCATGGTTCAAAGCCAGCCCAGGCAGGAAAGTCCAATTAACCATCCCAAAACCAGAAGCAGAGAGTTCAAAGTGGTTGAGCACTAGCCTTGAGCAAAAGAGCTCAGGGACAGTGCCTAGGCCCTGAGTTCAAGCCCCAGGACCGACAAAAAAAAAAAAAAGACTCCACCAACATAACCTCAGAGAATGTGGTGCAGGAGGGAAAACGCAAAAACCTCAAGTCACCACCCTAAGCTGCATACAGCTGCGCCCAGTGTCTCCTAACCCAGGCTACACCGAGGACACATTCAGCTTGGGGCTGTCTGCCGCCAGCCATGACTGTGTTCGGAACCACCACCGTCAGGCTTTCGTAACTCCAGGACGCGTCAAGGCGTGTTCCGCAGTAACATGCACGCGTCCACTCAGACCAGAAGCACCTAAAAGGCAGCTAGTTAGCTCGTCGGTAGCTGAAGCAGGCCCCTCAGCCAGGCACCAGAGCTGGCTCTGCGCCACCACAACGCGACCTGGTCCCCGGACAACGCTGAGAGTAGTTCTGGCGTTGGCGTTTCCACCGCTCATCACGAGTAGAAAGGCCGAGGGAACCTAAGCTTCCGGGGGAAGGGCCCCGTCGGTGGGGGCCTCGGCCACACTACGGGGGGACGGCGAGCCGGCTGCACCGGCCGGCCGGGCGCGGGGCCACCAGCGACAGCCCCGGGCTGCGGGGGGCGCCGGGGACACCAGCGATGGCCCCGGGCTGCGGGGGACGCGGGCCACACCAGCGACGGCCCCGGGCTGCGGGGGGCGCGGGGACACCAGCGACGGCCCCGGGCTGCGGGGGACGCGGGCCACACCAGCGACGGCCCCGGGCTGCGGGGGGCGCGGGGACACCAGCGACGGCCCCGGGCTGCGGGGGGCGCCGGGCGCGGGGGGCGCGGGCCACACCAGCGACGGCCCCGGGCTGCGGGGGGCGCCGGGGACACCAGCGATGGCCCCGGGCTGCGGGGGACGCGGGCCACACCAGCGACGGCCCCGGGCTGCGGGGGGCGCCGGGCGCGGGGGGCGCGGGCCACACCAGCGACAGCCCCGGGCTGCGGGGGGCGCCGGGGACACCAGCGATGGCCCCGGGCTGCGGGGGACGCGGGCCACACCAGCGACGGCCCCGGGCTGCGGGGGGCGCGGGGACACCAGCGACGGCCCCGGGCTGCGGGGGACGCGGGCCACACCAGCAACGGCCCCGGGCTGCGGGGGGCGC